CCTAAACTAAGCTGCTGCTGCTGCTGCTGCTTCTTCTTCTTCTTCTTCTTCTTCTTCTTCTTCTTCTGGGTGAAAATTTGGAAAAAACTACAGGTCCTCCTTTTCTCATTGACAGCTCTATCCCTGCTACTTAGCATCTAAGACATTGTCTGTTAGACCCTCAATAAGTATAGTAGGATAAAGTCAAACTCTTTTTTTCTTTTTCTTTCTTTCTTTACATTGACAGTTGGCATGAGTAGGGGAGAGAAAGAGAGCGAGGAAGTACCTCCCTATGGGACATGGTTACACAGCAATTCTTCTTCCTCCATCTCTCCATCCTGTCAGGATTTGGGGTACACATGCACATGTATCTAGTGTTTTTCAAGGCTCCAGGGCCAAGATTTGGATAGTGGGCCACCATGTGGAATCCTGTTTCTAATGCACAGTGCTTAACACTGTTGTTTGGGCCAGGCTTCATTTTTATTACAGAAATCAGATTTTGTCTAACCAGCAAGAAGCTAAAGTAACTCAAGTTTTAAGCAATAGAAAGAAAGGAAGTTTGGGACCAGCAGATGGCATGGTGGCTACGTTGCTGCACTCTCACATAGTTGACTGTGTTTCAGGTCCTGGATCCAACAGCTTAAAACTCACGTCAGTGGGACCAGCAGATGCATAACGGCTATGTCACTGCATTCCCACATATCGACTGCAGTTCAAGTCCCAAATCAGGCAGCTTAAACTCATGCATCCCTAAAAAATAATAGAGGAGAAGGGATTGTAGTGTGGCCATTCCCTCTGGGGGGTGATTTCTCACTTTCTATCTCTCTGTCTTTCCCTGTCTTTTTGGCAAGTGCACATGCCCTATAGCAAAAACCTCTTAAAAAAAAAAAAACTCACGCTGGGTGCATGTGTGTGGATACCCACATGTGTGTGCGTGCTCACGTGTGTGTGCGTGCTCAAAATCCTGAGAAGAGAAGGAATAACAATCAATTCTGGCAGGTGATTTCTCACTTTCTGTCTCTCTGTGTCTCTCCGTCGAGCACATGCGCCCTATAGCAAAAATCTCTAAAAAAGAAAAAAGAAAAAAGACGGGACCGGCAGGGGGTGTGGTGGTTAAGGGTGCTGGGCGCCCACATGGCCAACCATAGTTCGAGTCCTGGACCTGGAGCCTTGCTTTCTCACCCTCTCTTTCTCTCTCTCTCTCTTACTCTGTCCCTTTCTGGTCAAATTAAAATAAATAAAGATGAAATAATTCTTTTAAATCCTTTAAAATCTTGTCATATTGTGACCCTCTGCTCAATAATCTCTGGTAGCTTCCTATCTCATTCAGCAAAATCCAAGGTTTCACAGTAGCCTACAAGTCCCAGAAGATCTGAATTCTCCACCCTTTTCCCATTGCCTCTTCCTCTGTCGCCATTCACTCTCCCCCTGGTGCCAAGGGCCCAGATGGAACAAGTCAATCTCTTCCTCCAGGGAGTCCTGTCCAAGGACCTGTTCCCATCACCATTCTGGGCAGAGAGTTCCTTTGGGCTTAATTCACTCCAGCTATACTGTTTCCTTGCAGTTCTTAGAACAAGCTGCCAGAGCCTTTGCGCTTGCTGGATAGTCTGGTGGAAGGCACTTATCAAATACCTGCCCAACTCTCTCTCTCTTATTTATTTATTTATTTATTTTTGAGAGGTTTTCGCTATAGGATGCGTGTGCTCGCCAGACAGAGAGAGACATAGAGATAGAAAGCGAGATATCACCCCCCAGGGGGGATGGTCACGCCGCAATCCCTTCTCCTCCATTCTCCTCTCGGGATCTCGGGCACGCACGCACACATGCCTGGTGTGAGTTCTAAGCCACCGGGTCCGGGACACGAACCGCAGTCGACTATGTGGGAGTCCAGCGATATAGCCATTACGCTAACTGCTGGTTCCCCCTGCCCAACTCTCTTCAAGTCACTGTTCAGTGTCACCTTAGTGGGGCCTTTCTTTTTTTTTTTGTTTTTTGAGAGGTTTTCGCTATAGGATGCGTGTGCTCGCCAGACAGAGAGAGACATAGAGATAGAAAGCGAGATATCACCCCCCAGGGGGGATGGTCACGCCGCAATCCCTTCTCCTCCATTCTCCTCTCGGGATCCTGGGCATGCACGCACACGCGCCCGGCATGAGTTTTAAGCCACCAGGTCCGGGACGCGAACTGCGGTCGACTACGTGGGAGTCCAGCGACATAGCCATTATGCTAACCACGCCTGGCCTGAGTTTAAGCCACCGACTCTGGGACTTGAACTGCGGTTGGCTACATGGGAGTCCAGCAACATAGCCATTACATCAACTGCTGGTCCCAGCAGGGCCTTTCTGATTCCCTTCCCCTACTTTTTTTTTTATTTAACTGTATTTATTTATTTTACCAGAAAGGGGCAGAGTGAGCAAGAGAGAGAGAGAGAGAAAGTGAGAAAGCAAGCCGCCATGTCCAGGACTCTAACTGAGGTCAGCCATGTGGTAGTCCAGCACTTTTAACCACCACGCCACCTGCCGGTACCTCCCCTGCTGTTTTGATAACTAAAGTTGATGTGAGTCCTGTGGTCTCATATGTAGGAAGCCCTGGCCTACAAAGACACTGGTGATTTTCTTTTGCTAGTTAAAAATTGCTTCCCCCTAAAAAAACCCAAACAAACAAAAAACAAAACAAACAAACAAAAAAACTTCTCCCAGTCAGACAGCAGGTGGTATGGAGTTTAAGGCGGCTGGATCCCACTTGGCTAACCACATGAATTGAGTCTTAGACTGGTAACTTGAAAAATGCTGGATGTGGGGCTGGCAAGTAGAGTGGTGGTGAAGGGCGCTGGACTTCTGCATGATTGACGGTGGTTCAAATCCTGGACCTGACAGCTTGCTTTCTCACTTTCTCTCTCTCTCTCTTTTCTTTCTCTATCTTGCTTGCACTGTTCCTCTCTGGTCAAAATAAAATAAGTAAATAAATAAATGTTAAGTAAAATAATTCTTTTTTAAAAAATGCTCTGTGTGTGTGTGTGTGTGTGTGTGTGTGTGCCAAAAATCATGAGAGAATAGAGAAGGGACTGCAGCACCTGGGGGTTGATTTCTCATTTCTCTCTGTCCCCTTTGCAAGCCACGGTCCCTCTAGTAAAACTAAAAACAAAGGAACACACAAAACTGGCTCCCGATGAGCTAGCTCACTTTTCACAGAAGGCAGTGGGGCCAAGTCCTACACATGAACTTCCTGAGGGCAGAGACTGTGACTTGTTCCACGCGATTCCTAGTAACCTGCCCTGACAAGGACAGTCTGGAGACATCTGATTATTTGTAAATAAACGAAGGGGTATGGATGGCGAAGTCCCATGTCCTTACACTAGCAGGAGATTCAGGAGCCCTCCTGGACAGCGGCCCCGTCCCCAGGCCCCGCCCCGCCTCAGGCCGCGCCTCTCCACTCGCCGTGGGCACATCTCCGTCATCTACTGCTCGGCGTTTGTGCCTTTTCCGCTGGTCTGCCCTGCGCGTCCCATCGACGTGATCGGCTATCGCGCGCCTGCGCCATTGGGCTGTCAGTCAGAGGCGGCGTGGGGAGCGCTGGGAGCAGTTGTGGCGCCCCGGGAGCTGAGGTAAGGCTGCGGCTTCTGCCTTTCCAGGCCGCATACAAGCTGGCTTACCCCTCTGAGAAGCACTGCGGGGGCTGGAGGGAGGCGGGTCTGAGCCAGGCTGAGGGGGTGGGCGGGGGCGCTGAGTCTCGAAGTCATCAGCGTGAATCCTTGCTCGACCCGACCATGGCGCCGAATGTCTGAATTGGAAAGGAGGTTGGGAGAGTCGGCGCCAGACTCCTTCTGCCGCAAGTGCAGACACTGCTTTTCTTGCTTCCTAGGTCGTCTTACTCCTGTGCCCAGAAGTCAACTATTAAACCCTTTTAGATAACTAGGGAGGGGAGGCTCCGCTCGAAGTTAGCAGACCCGGGACCGTAGCTCCGTGCCTGAACTATCCACTTGGGCTCTTCATTCATTTACTCAGCTCTTGAGTTGTTTGGGTGCTGGGCAGTGACGTCCGAGGAGTGGGAGACAAACCAGTGACGATCCAGTGTTGTGTCTGTCCACCACCGGGGAGGGCAGTTGAGTGCTGTGATGGAGGCATGTCTGAGATGCCAGGAACACCTTGCTAAAGCTCGGGAGGCTGGCGAGACTCGTTGCCTTGATTCCCATCACACCCAGTCGTGGCAGTGACAGTGACCCGTTTGACATCTGCCTGGTGTGGCGGTTAGTTATGTTCATGGTAACTGTTCTTGCTTCCTCGGTGGCTTTCCTTCACCCAGAGCTTCACTCAGAACGGGAGTCTCAGGTCCTGGTGTCCTGGGTTCTAATGCTCCCTTGGAGATGTTTGAGCTTGAGTCTTACATGGGGCTGTTGTGAGGTTCACGATCCTCATTCCACAAACACTGGTTGAGTGTCCGGCATCTGACTGGGAGTAGTGATGACCAATACAGTCTTCATCATCAAGGAATTCACCCTTATATATATATTTTTCTTTCCTTTTTTCAGAGAGATATTTTGCTATAGGACTCTTGCGCTTGCCAGAAAGACAGAGAGAGACAGAGAGATAGAAAGTGAGAAATCACCCCCCAGGAGGGATGGCCATGCCGCAATCCCTTCTCCTCCATTCTCCTCTTAGGATCTCGAGCACGCACGCACACGCGCCCAGCGTGAGTTTAAGCGGTCCAGGACTCGACCACATGGGAGTCCATCGACATAGCCATTACGCTAACTGCTGGTCCCTACCCTTAGATATATATATATATTTTTTTTTTTTTTGGAGAGATTTTCACTGTAGGGCACGTGCGCTTGCCAGACAGACAGAGAGAGACATAGAGACAGAAAGCGAGAAATCACCCCCCAGGGGGGATGGTCACGCCGCAGTCCCTTCTCCTCCCTTCTCCTCTTGGGATCTTGGGTACGCACGCACACGCGCCCGGCGTGAGTTTTAAGCCACCTGGTCCGGGACACGAACCGCGGTCAACTACGTGGGAATCCAGCGACATAGCTATTACGCTAACTGCTGGTTCCCCCCTTAGATATATTTTTAAATAGATATTTAAAAGACATTAATGCCACTCTTAAATAGATATATAAACTCATAGGTGCAGTGAAGCTTCAAAGGCTGAGATCATCCATAAGTGGTGGGATGGAAGGGAGGAGTCACTTCTACCAGGGAGGGTGGGAAGGGTTAGGAATGACTTTATAGGCAAGATGACTGATGAGTTATCTTGAGGGGGTTAATAGTTGACGTCTAGGCACAGGAGTAAGACAACCTAGGAAGCAAGAACAGCAGTGCAGTGACCAGAATTATGAAACAGAATAGTTTAGTTGGAACAGAAGGCTTTCCATGATTTTGCATCTAATAGTGTTAAATACTTATGTAGGGCTTGTCTTGGAATGGACATTATTTTGTGTACTTTACATAGAATAAACTTAATATAGAATAAATTTAATCTTAACTCTGTGAAGTGGAGACTGTAATTATCCCCATCTTATTAAATGAAAGAAACTGAGGCATAGAGAAGTTATGCAGCTTGTCCTAGCATACAGCTAATAAATGGTAGAGCTAGAATTCAAACCCAAGCAGTGTGGCTTTGTAGGGTCTGTGAACTTAACCACCAAGGATATCCTGGAATATGTCGTGTTTGAAAAGCACCTGATAAACCCCTGTGGGAGCTGGAGAATGCACGACAAGGTCATTCCCCAGTGGGCGCCCCCTAAGCAGCCCATCCTTAAGACAGTCGTGATCTCTGGTCCCCAGCTGAAACCATGGGAAGACTGCGAAGAGACCTGAGGAGAGGCCCATAAGCCTCAGCTAGCCTAATGGCAAAATGACGCCGGGGTGAAGCATGGGTGGCGAGGCTGCAGGAAGCCACGAAGTCATCTGTCTTCTTCAAGTCTCCATCTCTGTAGAAAGAACTCCCTTTTTTCACTCCTGTCCCACTTGGGTCTTTTTAGCTGTCTCGTCATCAACAACTGTGGGCAGTGGCTGGGCCCAGGCGAGCAGCTCGTGTGCACAGCCACAGACCCTCGTCTTCTTTTGTAAATCGTTCGTCTAGCATCTGAGTCCAGATAAAGGGCAATCTGATTCAGAGAACACTGGATACATTCCCCATTGCCCAGCCTTTGGGAGTGAGTGGCAGTATTCTCTTTCTGATCACAGGGCAGGGGTCAGAGTTGGGAATAAAGCACTATTAGGGTGTTGGGGGAAAAAAAAAAGAAAGAAAAATGAAAAAGGAATGTTAACAGTTTGGTTTGTTTCTGTAATTGGTCTGCAAATCTAGTTCAGATATATAATTAGCTTCGTGTTTACAGTGATTATACACACACACACACACACACACACACACACACACACACACACATATTTGGGACCAGCACATGGCATAATAGTTATGTTGCTGGACTCCCATGTAGTTGACTGTGGTTCGAGTCCCAGACCCAGTGGCTTAAAACTCAGGCTGGATATGTGTGTGTGTCCAAAGTCCCAAGAGAAGAATGGAGAAGGGATTGCAGCGTGACCACCCACCTCCACTCCTGGGGGAATGATTTTTTGCTTTCTGTCTCTCTGGTGAGCGCACATGCCCTATAGCAAAAAAATCTCTCAAAAAAAATTTTTATAGGGCATATGTGCTCACCGGAGAGAGATGGTGTAATGGTTATGTAGCTGGACTCCCACATGGCCGACTGTAGTTCGAGGCCTGGACCTGGTGGCTTGAAACTCACACTGGGCGTGTGTAAATGCGTGCCCAAAATCTTGAGAGAATAGAGGAGAAGGGATTGTGTGGCCATCCTCCTAGGGAGTGATTTCTTGCTTTCTGTCTCTGTCTTTCTCTGTCTCTCTGGACTGTGAGCATCCATACCCTATAACAAAAGTCTCCAGAACCCTGGGGGACCAGCAGTTAGCGTAATGGCTATGTCGCTGGACTCCCATGTAGTCGACCGCATCCCAGACCCAGTGGCTTAAAACTCACGCTAGGCACGTGTGCATGTGTGCCCAAGATCCTGAGAGGAGAACGGAGAAGAAGGGATTGTGGCGTGGCCATCCCCCCGGGGGGTGATTTCTCCCTTTCTGTCTCTCTGTCTCTCTCTGACTGTCTGGCAAGTGCCCGCCCCCTATTGCTATAGCAAAACCTCTCCAAAAAAAAAAAAAAAATCTCCAGAATCCTGAGAGGAGAATGGAAGAGAAGGGATTGCAGCATGGTCACCCCCTAAGGGGTGATTCTCTCTTTTCTTCCCTCTGCCTATATCTGCTTGCCCTTTGGCAAATATCTAACAGCAAACAACAACAACAAAAAATCTTTGCCTTTGTTTTCCATGAAAACTTAGGTGTTCCCTCAACTATATTTCCTTTGCATCTTAGATCTATCCTTACCATAGCACTAATGATAGTATTATAATTTACTGAATTTGTGTTCTCCAGTTAATTGTGAACAACTTAAGAGCAAGAACCAGATTTTTTTCATTTTTACTTACCAAGATTGTTGGAACCAAGAGTGTATACTGGTAAGAGTATGTTAAAGGTGATGTTTATACTGCAGCTAAGGAGCTTTTTTAATTTTGAAATATTTTAAAGAATTATTTTATTTAACCTTATTTATTTAAATTTGACCAGAGAGGGACAAAACAAGAGAAAGAGAGAGAGAAGAGGGAAAGTGAGAAAGCAAGCCACCAGGTTTGGGACTCAAACTGCAGTCGGCCTTGTGGGAGTCCAGTGCCCTTAAGTACCACACCACCTGGTGGCCCCTAAGGAGCTTTTCTTAGTGTGGTTACTACAGTTACGAGTGATGTATTTGGGGAACCAGCAGATGAAGTAATGGCTATGTCACTGGACTCCCATGTGTTCAACTGTGGTTCAAGTATGGACCAGTGGCTTAAACTCACACCGGGCACGTGTGCATGCATTCCCAAGATCTCGAAAGGAGAATAGAGGAGAAAGGATTGAGGCATGGCTATCCCCCTCTGGAGGTAATTTCTCACTTTCTGTCTCTCTGTCTTTCTGGCAAGTACATGTGCCCTATAGCAAAAACCTCTCAAAAAAAAGAAAGTGATGTATTTGGTATAAATGAATATTAGTAACCTAAATAAGATGGGTTAGTACTATGTGTGCTTTGATTTTTGTCACATATTTTTTTCTGTTAATTGTTTCTTCTGTGCTTGCAGTGTGTAAAAAATGGAATTTCAAGCAGTAGTGATGGCTGTTGGCGGGGGATCTCGGATGACAGATCTGACTTCCAGTATTCCCAAACCTCTGCTTCCAGTTGGGAACAAACCTTTAATTTGGTATCCATTGAACCTGCTCGAGCGTGTTGGATTTGAAGGTAAGCCATGGCAATGAGATGTACTCATAAAACTTTTAGGGTGTTTGTTCCCAATGACTAGTCAGCATTATGAGGGTGAAGAAAGAGGAATGAGAAAAGAATAAGATTAAAAGTTGGATAGGGACAAGGCTCTTTAAATTAGGAACATAGGAATACTCTACTGATGTGTGAAAAAGGTTGAGAAGATGGTGGGAGGTGGTGGTGTTCTAGAGCTGTAGCAAATCATAGTACCAGTTAGATATACAAATCAGAGTGTTGGATCCTGTCTTGAGATTAATTTAGTACTCATTCTGCTATGAGAGCTGTCTTCCTGAGGTACACCCAGGAACATTTCTATGCAGTAGGCTATTATGACATTGGTGTCAAGAGATATGTTTGGAAGAGATTTTTTTTTAGAATTCAAAGTCACAGACAAACGAAATTGTGACAATTTATTATTTTTTTTAATTTTACTAGAGTGCACGTGCACTCATCAGAGAGACAGGAAAAGTGAGAATGCATCGAGGGATCATCATGTTGCAATCCCTTCTCTTCCGTTTCTCCCTCCTTTTGGAATTTTGGGCATGCAAGCACACATACCCAGCATGTTTTCAAGCTGCCAGGTCTAGTGCTCAAACTGCCCAGTCAGACATATGGGATCCAGCACCTTAACTACCATGCAATGCACAGCTGACCCATTTTTTCTTTTTTCTTTTTATTTTTTGGGAGAGGTTTTTTGCCATAGGGCGTGTGCGTTCACCAGACAGACAGAGAGACAGAAAGTGAGAAATCAACCCCCCAGGGGGGATGGCCACGCTGCAATCCCTTCTCCTCTATTCTCCTCTCGGGATCTTGGGCACACACACACACACACGCCCGGTGTGAGTTTTAAGCCACCGAGTCTGGGACTCGAACCGCGGTTGACTATGTGGGAGTCCAGTGACATAGCCATTACGCTAACTGCTGGTCCCATGACCCATTTTTTTCTTAAAGAATTATTTACTTATTTAATTCCTTTTGTTATCATTATTTTTTAATTTGACCAGAGAGAGACACAGAGAGAGAGAGAAAAGGAAAGTGAGAATGCAAGCTGCCAGGTCTAGTACTCAAACCACAGTTGGCCACATGGGAATCCAGCACCCTTAACCATCACACCACCTGCTGGCCCCCCAATATATCTTAATATACTTCAATATATCCTACTTTCCTGGGCCAGCGTGGTAGTTAAGTGGCTGGATTCCACATGGCCAACTGCACAATTCAAGTTGTGGTTTAAAAAACACACAGGGGTGGGACCAGCAGTTAGCGTAATGGCTATGTAGCTGGACTCCCATGTACCTGATCGTGGTTCGAGTCCTGGACCCGGTGGCTTAAACTCACACCGGGCGGGTGTATGTGCATGCCCAAGATCCTGAGAGGAGAATGGAGGAGAAGGGATTGCCGTGTGGCCATACCCCCAGGGGGGTGATTTCTCGCTTTC